CGCATCAACAAGTCAAAGTTGCCCATGCCTGTCCCTTCTTTGGCCATGTCATATACAGACTTCCTCAGACACGACAACTCTTTGGTTTCGGATTAAAGGTTAAAGTAAAGTAGATGTTTTCTCATCCGTCGACATGCACGGAAGTCTCGGCATTACGGTGACTGCAATAATGTTCAAACTATATGAAGTGGAGCAAGACCTTATAGTACTACTTGCAGCTTGACGATGTTATCTCATCTGCACGTGACGTCGTGTTATCTCCGAGATCCGCTCTCCACTAACGCGTCTGTCCGCCACCACTCTCAATGGGACGCGACGCGTCCCAACGACACCAATGGACGCATTGCTGGATGGACTCAATGAAGCGCAGCGGACAGCAGTCACCAGTCCTGCAAATGTCGTGCAGGTCCTCGCGCCACCAGGCTCCGGAAAAACGAAAACACTTACAGCACGCGTCGCGTACCATGTCATTCACGAGCGACTGCAACCATGGAACATCATCGTATGTACCTTCACGATCAAGGCCGCGAGAGAGATGAAGGAGCGCATCAAAGGCTTTGTCGGTGACAAACTCGAAGCGAAGCTTTTGCTCGGGACTTTCCATTCCGTTGCTCGTCGCTTTCTATCTCGATATGGCCATGAGATCGGCATTGAGAAAAATTTCGGCATCGCAGACACCAACGACAGCAAAGCGATCCTTAAGCGCATTGTCACTCGATATCAGTATACAGTCGAGCCTAGTCATGCCCGTTCAAGGATATCGAGCCTGAAATCCAAGGGCGTTTCAGCCGATGACTTTCGCGCCACATCCAAGAAAGTCAACGACAACGAGTTTGCAATGATCTACTCATCTTATGAAGAGCACCTGAAGGCCTCAAATCTATTAGACTACGACGATCTACTTGTGCGATGCGTCGAATTACTCAAGAAGCAGCCGTCCTGTGTATCTACCATTCAGGCTGTACTCATCGATGAGTACCAGGACACCAACAACATCCAATACGAGCTGATGAAACTACTGGCACAATATGCTCGGCGAATAACAATCGTTGGTGATCCAGACCAGAGCATCTACAGTTTCCGTGCTGCTGAGATCAAGAATTTGTTTCGCATGCGAGACGAGTTTCCGGAGTCGATCGTCATCAATCTGGAGAACAACTACCGATCGTCCGGGTGCATTCTCAATTCTGCACTGGCTGTCATTGAGCAGGACGAGACTCGTCCGCAAAAGGCTCTGATTGCGACGCATGGCACAGGCGAACCACCAACACTTCGTCATCTCTTGTCCGCAAACGTGGAGGCAAAATGGACTGTTGAAGAAATTATCCGAACGAAAACACTTGCGGCTGGGCTTCTCAAGTACAATGATTACGCCATCCTACTTCGATCTAGCAATTTGTCTCTGCAATTAGAAAGAGCTTTAGGACAAGCCGGGGTGCCATATCGGATGGTGGCTGGCACAAAGTTCTTCGACCGCGCAGAGATCAAGATTGTCCTAGACTATCTACGTGTAGTCAGTCAACCAGAACACAACGATGCTGTCGCGCGCGTGATCAACCTGCCTTCTCGAAAGGTCGGCGAGAGCACCGTGAAAGCACTTCTCGAGGAGGCTGAAGTCAAGAAGATTACACTGTGGAAAATTGTCCTCGACACAGCTCAGGGGCGAAGACGACCTGAATACAAAGTGTCTGCTCAGGCTCAGAAAGGTATCGATCAGTTTGTGAATGTTATACTTACCGCGCGCGAAAAGCTTCTACCAGCCGATGGCGAGAATTGCAACCTTTACGACCTCATTGGCCATATCTTGCAGAAGATCAGCTTCCAAGCATACCTGAAACAAGCGCACAAAGACAATTGGCAGGACCGATGGGCGAATGTGGAGGAGCTAGTCGCTCAAGCAACACAAATGGCTACGGCCATGGCCAGCGGCGAGGAGATTACGGACGATGCGTTGCCCGTGGTCGAAGGTCTCGAACAACGGACCGACACTGGTGCTGACATTCTCTCGAAATTCCTCGCGAATGTCACCCTGTCAAGCGTCACTGATCAGGATGGTGGCGAGTTGGATCAGGTCACCATCTCGACGATACACGCTGCAAAGGGGCTGGAGTGGCCGATTGTGTTCATGCCAGCTGTATATGATGGATCTATTCCTCATTCTCGGGCCGAAGATCATGATGAGGAAAGACGTTTGCTGTATGTTGGTATGACACGAGCACAAGGCTTCCTGTACCTCAGCTGCCCACTCTTGCAGTCCGGGCAGGAGAAGACTACACTTTCAAAATTTATCTCAGAGCGCAGTGTGCAGAAGCACTTCAGTCAGCGAGGACCCGACATGGCCTTCAAACGAACGACAATCCCGGATCTAGCACAAATCTTGCGTCGACCTTGCCCAACCACTGAGGAGCTCAATATCGCACGCGGTCAACTCGAGCGGTTAGAAGATGACTTGTACCCCGCAACCAGAGAGGAGATTGATGGAGAAGAACCATCATGGGGCAAGTCGTGGGATGACAAGTCGAGAGGATCGGGTTCGATCAACAACGGTTCAGATCCCGGTTTCAAGCGACGCAAGCTTAACACAGATGACTCAATTGGTGTGACTATGAACAAGACCTCGGGTTTCTCAGTCACTTCAACCACAATGCATCACGCGAAAGCGGGTTTCACGAGTGCGCGAGACTTAGGAGATTTGCAAAGCATGCAACGAGAAGCAGAGCGCATTCGAATGCTTGCTTCAGCATACGACGCTGAGAGCGGACAGGCCGCCTATAAAGCAGACAAGAAGGCAGAAGCGAAACCAACGCAGACGAAGAAGGTCAAACCACGAGCGGCAGGACAGGGTGCGATCACAAACTTCTTCGCGAAGAGGTCTGTCAGCACGCCGGCGGACGACACCGAGTTCCCTGTACCTGTTCAAGTGCCGACACTACAGCGCTCGCAGTCTTTGATATCCAGTGCCACGCCATTACACGACATCTCCAACGTGCAATCTCGACCGCCGAAACCGTTCCAACCTCTATCCGTCCCAAACTACAAGCTCCAGAATCGACCTATTCCCAGTAAACCCCAGCGCAGCGACCCATCAGATATGGAGAGCACTAGATATGTTCTCCTGTCGAGTTCGCCGATAAAACCTGATCACGATCCTGGACCCGAGAAAGATGTCGAAGGAGAGCAAGAACCACCAAGCCCAACCAAACAATCGTCATCGTTTATCCCGGTATCAGGCCTTCGCGCTGCATCGACGTTTCACACCACGTCGATGAGCCAGGTGCAGAATCAGGCGGCGCAAAGGAAAACGTTGGGGACGAGGAGGACGATGCAGGGGTGGAGTGTGAAGCATAGTTCGATGCCGAAGCCTCGAGGGTCTTGAGGTTATTTTGCGCGGAATTTAGCAATGCATTGGGTTGGAGTTTGATTGGACGGAGCTTCATGTATTACTATATCCTCGAACATTGGGTAAAATATATTTCGAACAAATGAGAATATGCTATGATTGGAAATGGTGTCGCGCACCGCGCGCATGCTGGAGAATATAGTACATGCCTGTTGTACAGTTTTTCCCGATCTCTGGAGTTCACGAAACTGTAGATAATCTCCGCATCGTGGAACGAGACGAATTCACAATATTGTACACCACAAACGCCGCGAATCCCCGCATCTTGCTCAATAGTTTTCCCAACCTACACTTCCTCATCAATCCCCATGCATAGCCTCCTCCTCCATCGCCTCAACGGCCTTGACCAACTCCCGAATCCTTCCTCCCGCGCGCCTCCTCACATCCTCCGCAATCTCCTCTCCTTCCTGCAATACCCCGTTGTAGTAATCGATAAGCTTATCCAGCTCCTCCCTCGCCGCCGCGCGATCATCAGCCGCATACGTGCTATTCTTCTCGCTTTCCTCACTCGCGATCTCGAACTCGTCTTTCGCGGTGCCGTAGAGGTCTGTAATTTGCTCGATGGCAGCGTCGATGCGTGCCTGAGTCTCAGGCGAATGCGGTGGGGTAGTTGATTGTGGGGCAGGGGATTCAGACGCAAATGCTTTAGAAGGCGTAGAGCCAAATGTCCGGATCGAGCTGAGCGTATACGGCGTGCTGAAGTGTGTCCATTGCGCAGATGCGAGCGCCGTTTGTCCGCGCGCTGTATATGGCGGTGGGGGACTCGGCGAGCGCGCGCGGGAATGCGGCGCTGTGGAGAAGTTGTGTTGCTGTGTGAGAGAGTAGGATGTGCGTTGGAGGGTGGATGCGCTGGCGCGGAGGGTTGTTTGGCGGATGAGGGCGCGCAGGTGCGTGCTGGGTGAGGGCTTGGGGCCGCTGGTGGAGGAATAGGATGCGCTTTGGGCGGCATGGGGTAGAGAGCGCCTGGCGGCGGTGCGCAATAACGGCGCTTTTGTGAAGAGCGATTGAGACATTGTGGTTAAGTGGTGTGGAGGTGAGATGGTAGGGCTGGGGAAATGGGATGTAAGCCTGAGGTTTGGGGGCCGGAGTTAGACGGAGGAGGGTGGCCGGGCTGTGCAGCGTCATGGAAGATTGCATATGTAGCGGCCATAAAGTGCAGTTTTGAATGTCATTTCAGAGTCAATCATGGGAGAGAAATTGATGTGTATTTCTCGTATCAAGATAAAACTGATTGCAATCATCTTACCAGGCTTCATCTTCCTGTATAAGAGCGTTGAAGGGATGAACATAGATGCCCATCCAGACTTCAGTGAATCTGAGCAGACTTCACAAACAAGTTTCATTGATCTGTCTCAATCATATCATCATCAAACTTTCCAATTCGTTAATACAATGTCATACCAACCAGTCCTATGATTCTTTGCAAGCCAACGAGACATTTGCAACTTAATTGCCGTAGCCCCGCAAGTGTCGTGTTCGCTGGCGCCCCGCACGGCGAAAAATTGCGACTTCGACGCCCACCACGCCGAGCGCATTCTCAACACCACCAGAAACGCTTAGGATATAAACTATCTATTTCCAAAATAGCTCAACATTACTCGCTCGAGTAGTCTAGTGGTTATGATGTCTGCTTTACATTATCCCATGATGTGAAGCGCAGAAGGTCCCGTGTTCGATCCACGGCTCGAGTATACATCTCTTTTTTTTACGTTTTGTTTCTTTGTTTGCTCTCTTTTCGCTCCTTGGTTCTTATAAAGAGTGCATTAACTGTATATTGCATGCTTGGAGAGCTATTTTACCTTTTATTTTTATCAAGTGCAAATGTACCTCTTGTGAATTCCGAGATAGACAATCAATGAACACAATCTTTTTGAGTATGCGAAGGACAATTATAGATTCGTCTGGTCTATTATACAGGATCGTAGCAACTACAGTCCTCGTGCGTTGGTCGACCCAAGTCTTGAAAACAACTCCTGGTGGCCTACAAGAACTTATGTTTTTTCCCTTACACAATGACAATCTGCTGCGGTCCAGCAGGATGCCTTTTTGGCACAAAGAGTTTAATGACATCTTGTATTTGTACCGACACTATCCGTTCATTTGTTACATTGTCGTGTAAGTGTTGGGTTAAGATTTCTTTATCCTCAACCTACTCAACTACTTTTGTCATTTTCACTTCGCCCTCCCAAACTCCTTGAATGATGCCTCTTGTTCCTAACCTCCCCATCCCGTCCCATTCCCGCCACATTCATCCACCCAAATCCAGCCTCCTTATTCCCCAACAACCTCACCCCCCTCCTTTCCTCCCTCAACATCAACACCACCCTTATACTTAAACCTCTTCAACCCCCTCACACCTACATTAATCTTGAACACGCTCCCGGCAAACTCATCCACGCCCTTTCCGTTCTCGCCACTCGTGCCGCCCGCACTCGTGATAATCAGCTCCTCGCCCGCAAAACACGGACACGTCGGCTGCTGCGTGGGTACCTTGATCTCCGCCACGATCTCGCCCTGGGGGTTGATGCGCAGCACATGCGCGCCGCCATGTAGCGCGGTCCACATGTATCCTTCCTCGTCGATGCAGTGGCCGTCGGGCACGGCGTCGGCGCCGTAGCGGTTGTCGTCGGGCATGGTGAAGAAGGGGCGTTGGTTGCTAATCTTGCCTGTCGCGGGGTCGAAGTCGAACTGGTAAATCGTCTTCTTGGGACTATCAGCCCAGAACATGGTCGTATCGCTCTTATCCCACGTCGTGCCGTTGGGGATCGCGATGTCGCTCAAAGGTCGGGTCAGCGTGCCGTCGGTGTCGAGGCAAAAGAGGGCGCCGTGCTCGTCCCATTCGGACACGAGCGGGTCGAACATGAAGCCCGCCCAGAAGCGGCCAGAGGAGTCGACGGCGCCGTCGTTGCCGCGGTATTTTTCGTGCTTGGAGGCGCTGATTTCGGAGGGTGTCCAGACGCGCTTGATCCAGCGGTAGGCGCCGGTTTGCTTGTTGGCGATGCCGAAGCCGTATTTGCCAGCGAAGGCGAATTCGGAGGGGTTGCCTTCGATGTCGGCGGTGCAGCTGGAGACGTGTCAGAAAGTAAAGTTAGGGGATAATAGAGGATTGAAATACCCTATTGATATGTCGAATTCCTTGACAATGTGGTGACTTGAGGGACCGACATTGAGATCTACGCGGTGGACGCGCTGCTTCTCGACGTCGAGGAATCGTAGGCTGTTGGTGTCATCTTCCCAGAAGGGACCCTCTCCGAGCGAGCAATTTAGCTTGAGCCATGGCTGTGTAATGGTCAGTACTTGAATACTTTTTATTGATGCATGTCGTATAAAATGGCGGGATGGTCTAGCTGCGCAGACAAGCAATGGCCAAGAGCAATGCTTTTGGCTCAATGGAAAGAAAGCCTGGATTTGGCTCGCATCTCTCCATGCCATGGCCCAACAAGTCCACACGCATCATGCGTCGTGGCTCAATGCAAACATCAACGCAGCCCTCCAATCGTCCACATGACCTCGGCGGGGTACGAGCATTCCCCCACCATCCCGCCTCGCCTCACCCCAATGCACAAGAACGTACCTCAGTAATCTCATACTTCTTGACCTCAGGCATTGCGACGTCAGCAGTCCTTGCAGGCGAATGTGTTCCGCTCTCAACGTCCTTGACAGCGGTGTTTGAGTTACGAAGCTGGCCGTGGTCGTTCTTTCTCGCGCCCGCGCCGCCGTTCAACGCGCCTCTAATCGAGGCCCACAATTTGGATAGCGTCGCGCCCATTCTGCGAGTTGACGTCCCGATGAGCCGCCTAACGTCGCCCGTGTGGTAGACTACTCCCGTAGTGTCGTGTAACTGATTCGCGATTGTCGGATAGTGGGGGTGGGTATTCAGCAGCGAAATTCTTCGTCTGGTGGGCGCCGACTGACTGATTGCTAGAGTGGGCGAGGGAGGAAAAAAAATGTCGCAGGATGAAATGCTGCTGCGAGAGAGAAAATAGTTCCAACATCATGGCGGTATGAGGTACATATCATCTTGTCTTCATTTCGCACCTCGTTACACTACCCACCGTGCGCTCTCGGTCGTACGGTACGTCCAGCCTTCATCTCCAACAATGCGCTTGCCCTCGTTTCATTGAAAGCGAGCACAGGCACCTCACACAAACAGTATAGTAGCTCTGTATTGCGATTGATGAAGCGGCGACAGAGGAAGATTGTCGGCTGAACGGTCCGGCGCAGCAGGCGATCCCACGGGAGCAACGAATGTCCGTGCCGCGAGCGATTGGGCGTGCGAGAAGTACTGTACAACTGGCGGTTAGGTACTTGATAAGTCGCATAGCATGTAGATAGATTGTCCCGTGAGTTCCGGCTCAACAACACGTATGCACGTGCATGCGCTCCGTAATCTAGGCGTGGGACATGGCGTGCAGGTGGTGATCCTGTGCGAAGCGCCGCACGGGAGGACCTGCAGCGCCGTTGGGACAGATCTGAGACGGAGATTGCCGCTGCCATCGTATTATGGTGGGAGACGGGCACATTTCGCTACAATTGCGTCTTGACACAATTGGCGAATTCACATAGGTGACTTGACACAAAGATGGGAGAGCCCGACTTTCTGAGACCTCACAAGCCGATAAGAAACAACGATCGCACATCGCTATCGGAAAATTCACCCGCAGCATCTGCGGTCACCCGAGATGAGGCGTCATATATCGCAACCAAGAAACGTGAAGTAGCCAATGGGCTGTATGCGGGCACGTTGCATTGCACATGTGTGTCTGTAGTGTACTTGATGCAAGAGTACATATTGCTTGTTACTATACATTACTCCCGAGGCCGCTGTGTTTTACTCGCATGTGATTCTATGTACAGCACGAGCAGTCGTTGCAGCTCGAATCCTTGATAGTCGGCGGCTTTGCACACGTCTTTTGGCTGTCGTACGGCTTCGTCTTGCTCGGTACGCCAGCACCTGGAAGAATGGTGACCTTCACAAGGACCGGAATAGCAGAGCCAGTAGCGAGGCGAAAGGCGCGGTGGCCGAGTACTGTAGTCAATTTTAGTCAAAAATTATCAACAAGCTTCATCGAAGAACAAAGACAGCTCAGGTTAGGATGACATACCACGCAACAAGCTCGCAATCTCTCCCGAGTGCGAACTAATCGAAACGTACGTGCTGTCGTCGCTAGTGAAGATGTCATCGAGCACGACCTTGCTCCTTGCGTCCTGGTTCTCGCTCGGCTCAGCCTTCAGCTCTGTCCAGTATGGATCTTCCTCGGGAAAGCCCTTCTCAAATTTGAATCCTGGGAAGTTCTTCTTGATGTACGACTTGGTGCTGCGGCGGTCACAAGTATGCGCGCTGATGCCTTCTCTCAGAAACTCCTTGATGATGGGCTTGAATGGATACTTGTGTGGCAACTTGACGCCCTCAAACGTCAATCGCGCGGTATCGAGGCAGCGATACAAGGGGCTGGAGTAGTATGTCTGCGGCGTGGTGATCTTCTCATCCTTGATCAGATGGTTCCAGAAATCCTTGACTTTCAAAGCCTGTTGCACACCAACTTCGGTCAACTTAGCATCAGCCCATGTTACGGTGCCATTGCCGTCAAGTTCGGACCAATAGCAATTCCAGGCGGGTGTGCCGAAATAGGTCTCAGCGGCATTGTGAAAGCCTTCACCATGGCGGGCCAAGAATAGGAGAACATATCGATCACTTTTGGAGGCTTTCTTGTTCAAGGTATCGATATAATGCGCGAGACGTTGCCATTGGGTCTGTTTGGCATCGGTAGGGCACGTGGAGTCAGAGGGGTAGGTGCGGTTGATGAGGCCGAAGTTTGTGCCGATGAAGTCGAAGTCTGTAGGTGAAGTGGAGTTTTGGGACTGCACGAAGACATCATTCACAACGGTGAAGTTGAGATGTTTGGGAGCAGTATGTGCAGCCGCAGTGGACACTAGGGCTAGGAAGCCAGGAAGAAACGACGAGAGATGCATGGTGAAGTTGGCCCGTGAGATAGCACCCAGAAACCTGGGTTTACGTTCTGGGACTTATTTGCGCCTCTTATGCGTTCCTGATGGCTCTGCCGTGTGGGTTGGCAGTGATGATGGTGGAGTTGGCTGTTATAATGCTCGCAGCCAATCAGTAGAAAACGTGACCCGGATATAATGCCCAGCATGGCAAGGCGGGGGCAGACTACGGCGACCTTCCTGTATCGTTTCCACTGAAGTCTTAGGACGCCGCAGAGATGGGGCGGAGAGACTGTGGCTATCTGCTGAATCCCGGACGTGCCTCACATGTTGGTTGTGATTGGGATTGCTCCTGTTGCAGTGGAGACGAAGTAGTCTTGGCCCGCTCGACTATTCAAAGTATGACTTGCTAACCATCTAGATTGCAGGGTGAAGTCTAGAGAATGCTAGAAGAGAAGGTGCCAACACCCAATGAACAATGAGGTGAAGGACAAATGCTCAGCCAGAGTGCTATGGGAAAGTCCGTGGACCCTGCCAAGACCCCGGCTGCAACTGCCCATGGAAGCTCTCCACAAAAAAGTTGGAGCTGTCGACATCTTCTGCACCTTGCGCCAGCCTCAACACCACGACAATGTTCGAGAATCTGTGCGCGATCCCGCTCGAGGCGGATCTGTTCGCGCAGGCGATCCACCCTGAGCAGCCAATTGTTGCCGTAGGCCTGGCATCGGGACATGTGCAGACATAC